TGGCCTGTTCGGCCTGGGCCCTACCCCGCTATACGGCATCTAACCCGTCTCTACAGCCCAAGGCCCAGATGGGCCTGCTGTCCTAGTGATAGCCCGGGTCTGCTAAGGGCCGTAACGGCTAAGGCGGTTAGTCCTTGACACAAACAAAATTACGAATCTGACCCTAAGACACGACTATACAACCTCGCAGTCAGATCTCGGCAGCAAAAATCAGCAAGTCATTGCACAGGTGCAAGCTTGGAAGCGTGAAAGACACCTAACTCACTAGCCTTTACCCAGACTCCTTCTCCTACCTGAATTACGGCCTGTCGTTTGTGTCCGTTCTCAGATGCTATCATAGCTTCCTGAGATTTCACAATGCGCTCGACAGCCTGCTGCAACAGCTTTTCATACTGGACGCCAAACTCAATGGTTCAAGGCCTCGCAGCTGGTCAGTTTCCAGGAAGGAGAAATTCTAGCACTGATCTAGGCTTCCACCCCAAGTGCAGCTCATTCGGAGAGACACCGGTGGTGCTGTGAACTGCACTACTGTACAGGCTGGCGTCCCAGTCCTCCTGGCTCGGCTTTATGTAATGGCGCAGCAGGTGCTGTACTACGCGGTTCAACTGCTCCGCTTGGCCATTGACTTTGGGATGCTACCCTGAAGTCATTTGGAGTTGGATGCCCATCGGTTCAGCCCCTTTCTTCCACATTTCGCTGGTGAATCGGACATCTCTATCACAAACAATCGACTTGGGCAGCCCGAAATCACACAGCCAGTTATCCATGAATAACTTGATGTCAGTTGATGACGTGCTTAGTCTTTGCAGTTTCTGGCATGGTATCTAGCCTAGCGTACTTGGTGAACCCATCTACAGTGACAAAAATATGTCTCTTGCCACCCTTGCTGGTCACGAGGGTGTCCATGAAGTCCATGGAAACGCTCCGTCCCAGGCCAGCAGGAATGGGAAGGGGCTTGATTAACCCAACTGGTGCTTGAGTTCTCGACTTGTCCCGTTGAAAGACTTGACAAGTCTGTACGTAGCGCTTCACATCATCAAGCATAGAAGGCCACCAAAAACACTGTACAGGTTAGCACTAGTCTTCTTGTACCCGAAATGTCCCGTTGCATCATGACATTCTCCTAGAAATAAACTACACAAAGACTGTCACATGCTGCGCCTGCAACAGGCTGCACGGGCCATTTCCAGGCCCGTGACGTTTTCAGGCCAAAAGCCTGAAAACAAGGGCCTACAGGCCCTGGGTCGTTTCAGCCTGAAAGCCTGAAAACAAGGGCCTACAGGCCCTATGTCGTTTCAGGCTAAATCAGGGCCTTTCCGGCCCTGAGTGTTTTCAGCTTGAAACTAAGGGCCATTTTCGGGCCCTCATCAGTTCGACCTGCCCTGAAACTCATGCAACAAACCAGGATTTTAGCACAGGCCATTTCGGGCCTGTTTTCAAGACAACCCCTGGTTGAGCTTCAACGCCAGGGTCTGGCACGTTTCGGCACTGGCAAGATCAGCCTCCTGGACGGGCCAGCACTATATAGGACTGGCCCGCCCTGCAGGAAGGCAGGTAGTTCCTAGGTACTTCCCAGCCACTTCACGTGCAGTTCAGCAGGCAGGAGGTAGTCTTCAGGATTCGGCAGCAGCAATCTGGAGGAGCGCTGCAGGAGTAGTAGCAGCGTTAGCAGTAGTCTTCAGCGCTGGGCGCTAGTAGCGTTAGCTGTAGTCTTCAGCGCTGGGTGCCATAGTAGCTAGAGTAGTACTAGAGAGAGAGAGATTGGGCGGAGGCCAGAGCGACTTACCTGCAGCGCCGTTGCTCCAGTTTCGTCTTCAAGGTACCTGCAGCACAGCGCCATCTTCACACGTTAGTACCTGGCATATGAGAGAGAGAGAGAGTTCTTCTTCCTCTTCTAAGTCCACCATCTCCTTCTCACCCTCTCGCTATATGACTTCACTGCATCAGCAGACTACGAGCAAGCGAGCGAGCGAGCGAGCGAGCGAGAGAGAGAGAGAGAGAGAGAGAGAGAGAGAGAGAGAGAGAGAGAGAGAGAGAGAGCTTGGTGACATTTGGATCCAGGCTCGACATTGGACTTCAGACATTTTGAAGAGGGATTATTTGGGACTTGTAACGAGACTTGGTGTTGACGACTTTCCCATCTCCCAATTCCTCTTCTTCGTCTGATCCCCTCCTCTTCGTCTGTGTATGTCTGGACCTGGCGCCTCCTTCCTGTGTATAGCGCCAGGCCCCATCACAACTTGTGATGAGCATGATGTATGTTTGGTCTGCGCTGGAACATTGAGTGGGCTAGTCATTAGTATTCTAGCATTCTGTTTCACTCATGGCAACCACGGACCCGGACATGTCTGGACCGAGGCCCAGACATTTGTCTGGACTGGTCCAGACGTCCGGTAATCCAGACAGGCACCGGACAACCGGACAGGACCGGACCGGTACACCCGACAAAAAAATGTCCAGACCGAAAAGAAAAGAAAAAAAAAACAAAACAAAAAAAAAACAAGCATTAGTAGTAAACAGTACTAAACACAGTTTACTGTCTTTCACTATTCACAACTTGACAGCTTCATACTGTCACAGAGTCAGAGACATTCACAAAGGCTCACACAACACTAGAAAGTTGAAAGCAGTTCTCAACAGACCAACGAAGGGATCTCAGATCTGACCAAAATCATCTCTCTCTCTCTCTCTCTCTTGATGTTCTGTGGCGCTTTGCAGCCAGCGCTTCATCTTTGGAATCAGACTCATCCTCATCCGATGAACTACCAGAGTAGAACAACAGCAGAGGGAGCTGTTGGAATCGTCTGGCGGCGTCCGGTAGGCCCTGAAACGGCCAAAAATACCGGGGGCATTTTTTGGGGGTGGCCTAGGACCCGAAAAACGCCCTAGGCCCCCCCAAAAAAAATTTCAAATTTTTCAAAATTGGGCCCAATCCAGACCTACCGGACCAGACACCGGACCCATACCCAGACAACCGGACCGTCTGGATTCCGGTCCAGACGTCCGGCCGGTTGCCATGGTTTCGCTATCTTGTACTACGTGAGAGAGGTCAGTCCCCGTCAGGTCAGGACTCGTATCTAAATTTTTCTAAAATCTTCCACTGCGCTATAAAACACCATTTTGTATGTATCAGAATGCACATTGCTTGTTGAGATTCCATTTGCACTGCATTGTACATTCAGTCCTTTTTATCACATAGCGGATCCTCGGTTTTACATGTACATCGCCCAACTGGGCATGTAACAGTTGGTATCAGAGCACCACACGTGAATCAGGACAACCTGATCTGACAGGTGTGCGGGGACTAGGTAGCTGATTAGAGCACACTAGTTAGCCCCCAAAATCACGATTTTGACCTCACTGCCAAAAATCGATTTTTTTTCTTCTTTTCTTGGATTTCGTTTTCTCGCTATTTCTGTTGTGGAAAATCGCAATAGCGCAACATCTGAAATTTCCGTTTTGGTTTTTCTTCTGAAAATCCAAAATTTCGTTGTTGGAAATCCGGAATATCTTTTTCTCAAAAATTTCGATCTCCTTTTGCAATTTCCCGTTATTTGGAAATTCGGAATGTTTTTTTCCGAAATTCGTTTTTCTGAAAATGGTACGGGAAATCCCTCTTGCAGTCCTACTTTCCAAACTGCGAATACTCTCATCTGAGTAAGTCTGAATACTGGGTATTTCTTTTCGGAATTTTTTTATTATTCGCAGTTCTATGATTTTCACTACCTAATAATCATTGGCAGTTGGAAGTTCGAAAAAAAAGATTTCATTGATACGTTCGCACTTCAAGGGAGGTTGGGAGACCTACTGAACTTGCAAAACTCGGGATTTTTATTTTCTCGGAATTTTTTTTGCAAAAAACTTTTCTTTTTTTGATTAGTGGCTCCTTATCTGGGCGAGTTATCCCCACCCACCCCTCCCCACCTATGTTGTTGCCACCTCTGGTCTTACCTTCTCTATCTGTCTCCGGGTACCCCCTGCGGTGGCATTGGTGAGTTGCCACATCAGCAGGCCATGTCAGCAGACCACGCCAGCAGGCCACCTCAGCAGCCACGTCAGCAGCAGGGAGTGCCACGTCAGCAGGCCCCAGCCTGATCTATGCTTACGCGCTCGAAAACAGCCGGCATGGGCCAGATGTCCGGGGAAACGGACGAGGCCTATCAGGCCCGGATGCTGCTTCTGATTACCTAAGCTAAGCAACGGTCGGATGCAGTAGCAGTCGCAACAAAGAAGAAGGCAGAGGACGCCGAGAAGGCACGTCTGTTGGCAATTGAACAGCAGCGCCAGCAAGACGAGGCAGCAGCAAAGGCTGCCGATGAAGAACGACTTCAACGCCGCGAGAAGATATTCAGCGGAGAGCGAGCTTTGCTCACATTGGCAGCGGACTGGCGGGCCGAGGCCGAGAATGGCAATCTGGAAGAGAGTGGAAATAAGATCGCTCTCCTCCTTGGCCATCTCACAGAACTCCTGGCCACGTGCATTGCACAGCAGGAGGACATTCACAACCTCGACAACGCGGTTCAGACACACAATCAAGTGTTTGACCAACTCACTAGCAGCCTCCAGCAGCTGGAACAAACCGTCGCCGCCCCGTTGCCAGCTCTTCCAAAACCTCCGATCGCCTTGAGGCATTGGAGCTTGACGTCGGATCCCTCAAGGACGGCGTGCAGTTACAGCAAACCGCGACGCAACAGTTGGAGCAGCGGATTTGTACTGCCGCCAACCACTCGAGCTCGGAACCGCACGAGACAACTCCAAAGTTTGATGGGCAGGAGATCTTCTGCAACTCAACAAAGACAGATCCGATTTCATGGTTCCGCAAGTTCGAGCTCACACTGCAGCTACACTACATCAAAGAACACAAGCACCACGGGTACTTGTACTCCCGGTCGGGGGGCGCGTGCCAAGCATGGTTGGACAATCTCTTGTCCAAGTACGGAGTGGTAGCTGCCGACTTGCATACCAAGATCAGCTGGGATGATATGAAGGTGGCGTGGCATAAGCGGTTCCAAGTAGAGACGCCGGAGATCAAGGCAATGGACAAGCTGATGGTCTTCGAACAAGGCACGCTGTCGAGTGTTGACTGGATTGCCGAGTACAAACAGTTGACAACCGTCCCAGACATCGAAATGGGCTTCAAATCCATCAAACACTACATCTCAAGGTCGTGTCCAGCGTTGGGCAATGCCTTGACTCACGTCGAGGACACCCTGACGACACCGGCATAATTTTTTGACAAGGCCGCGCAGATTATTGTCACAAACAAGGAGGCCAAGAATCTTTCGCGTTCATTTGCGCCAGGCCTGGGCAGAGATCAGCATCGGCCGAAAGTGGCCGTGGTCGCGGCGGCAACGCCAAACGACCAAACTAGCGAGGTCGTGTCTGCCAATGAAGCGGACAGACTCGCAGCCGCCCGGGAAGGTGGCCGCCCCGACAAAGGACGAGGACGCGGCAAGGCGAAGACAAACACCGCATCTAGCCCCGGGCCCGGCGCAGCAGCTCCGGCCCCAATTGGAACCTTCCCTCCCCTGTATCCGACGTCCTCGCTGCATCAATAAAGCAGCGGTGTGCGAGTTGGTTTCTCCGTCGGAGTATCTTTAACAACAGTCCGGTACACGTCGATCCCCCATAAGGCTGCCCTGCCCAACACCCCCTCCATGAGCAGAAAGAGCTCAAAGCACAGTGCAGCAAAGCATGCGTGCTCTCCTCCCTTGGGTTGGCATGGTGACCTTGACCCGTGCTTCGTCCAGGGCACTTCGGAGGCACCGCCCTCTCCCACCAGATGCGCCACCAGGAAGAATGTCGACTCTCAAGGTAGATCGCTTACGACTCCTGACCAGAAGAGACTCTCAAGCCGAACTCTCGTCCTCCCGGTAAGAGGAGATTGAGATGGGAAGATAAGGTAAGTAACAACGTACCTGAAGATAGCTGCCCCTACTACATATTTCTCACCAATTGAGCCTACAGCAGAGTAGTCAAGCCGACGGTCGGCACCCCTGGATTGGTTGGGGGCCGACCACCCAACCATTGGACTAGTCGGCACCTACCGGTCGGGGGTCGGTCAGCACCCCGCATAAGGACCAGAATCCCAAATAACCCCATCAACACCCCCATAGCCTCCACCAGCACCCCCATTGCCCCCCCCCCAGCACCCCCATACAACCCCCCAGAACACCCATACCGTCCCCCAACACCCTCATGCACCCCCCTTCAACCCCTACAACCACCCTTTAACCCCCTTATGCCCCCCTATMCCTCCCCCATAGCCCCCCGTCCCCCCCCCCCCACATCCCCAGAAGTTTCTCAGCGGATTGGGCTGTACTCAGCAAGTGCAGTACAGCCCTGAACTCAGATTCGAAAAAAAAAACAGTGGATTCTACAGACTGCCGTCCGGTCCACCTACGGGTCGGCTCGACTGGTAGGCGAGCCGGCAGCCTACGGTAGGCATCGGCTGTAGGCGTTCTGACAACGCTGGCCAACATGCATTTTGATGACCGGCCATAGCCTCAGTACCACAGACAATGCAATGCAGTGCCACCTTAGTACAAATGTCATGTCAGCATGCGCTCATCATTTTACGTACATCTGCTGTTGCCACAGCCTTCCAGCTCTCGCCACAACCTTCAGCCCACTCCCCTCTACCTGGGAGGGACTCCAATCAGCCAGCATCAAAGTATCCTAAGTGCAGAGAAGCTTTGTCAGGCGCACCAAGCAACCAGGACAACAGCACCAGTATGGCGATATCTGAACCAGCTCCAATACCAAATTGCAAGGAAAATGAGCGAGCGCGATAGACAGAAAACCAGATTGCAATGTCAATCTGAAGACCAGATAGTCGTGTACCAAGCAGAAAGCACAATGCACCAAGATACAAGCCAAATAAGAGCGATACCATGAACTCAATTGTCAATGTCGGCCCTCTCTTGCCACACCAACATAGTATCCAATGCCGCCTTTCTTGGCTCTCAGCGCCCAGCCTATGCTGCTCGGCACCTACTCTAACCTACACTACAATATGCAACAGGAATCACTTCAAGCTGACGACCAATGGACATGGCAAAGTCGAACATGCAGACTGCTAAATACACCAGGTACATGCCTCTCCTTCCTCTCACCTCACACCCTTCTCTCCCACTCAGTCTCCCCTCCCCGAAGACCACCATTGCTGATACAAGCACGCGCGCCCCAGCCTGGCTATGGCTGCCATGCACCTGCTGCCCAGCAGCGCCCCTCTCACCACTTGTGCCCATGTGCGCCCTCCTCTGGCCAGTGCTCAATGCAGCAGTGTGGCCGCTCTGTCTTGCAAGGCCAGAATGTCCTCTGGCTGGGCGCTCACTTTCCTATATGGAAATGAGACCCTGCTCTCCCGAGCCCTGGGCCTGGCCGCCATGTTCCCAGTAGCTTCACGTTGTGCAAAGGTGTCTGCACCCAGGCCAGATTCAGACAGTGGCCTGGGCCCACAACAGTTAAGCAACCCACCTGTGCGACATAGCCAGCGCTGTTCGCTCCCGTCCCATTGGCCGAGAGGCCTTGAGCCACATCGCTGCCTGGGAGAGCCCTTTGCTCTCACAATGTCGTGTTCACACTGGCATGGCCCTTGTAGCCAACTGGCGCGTGGCTACTGTCTGGCGCCTCATGTCGGAAAGCAGGCCCGCCTTCCCTTCGGGCGAGCACGTTGCTTGCTGGGGGGCCCTTAGCCAGTCGGGTGCAGTGACCTGCAAGGCCTAGCGAAGCCTCAATCCTTGCACAACAAAGACATAGACGTAGTCCCGTGGAACCTGTATCAAAGTCACAAGGGCTTTCAGGATCACATCCTTGAGAAGAATCGAGAAACACAGGCAATCCGTGAACTGTGTTCATTAGAACTATTTTATTCAAGAAAATCTCCAAAGGCTGAAACGCAGTGAAACCTAAAAATTAGCCTGTAAAGGGTATCATGACTGGTTCCTTTTGACAAAGTAGGGCAACTGACAAACTTCAGGCCGCTAGCGCACTGACCTTCCAAATCGCAGCCTTAAGAAGAATCCAGAAACACGGGTACTAAAATCCCGTTTGCCTGCCAACCTGTAAACACATAGCAGCAAAGCAAACAACAACACACTTGAAGACAGTCCCAGTCAACATGTCGATGCTCGCACTCCCCCAAACACATATTTAATGTACAAGGCTACAAGCGCATTTTCAACAGTTTGGAAACTCAAAGCCTCAGACACGGCCCAACATATTCACAAGGTGCCATGTTTTGGAATTGTTACAAATGATGTTCCAGATTGCGTGGGATGCTGAGCCTGGTCCCGGCAGATAATACAATTGAAAAAATATATTCTAGCAATTTCTAGGTGACAATGAATTCAAATGGCCTCATGTTGTATACCTTTTGAAATATAAGGCATGCAAATCAGAATTTAATGGCCATACTTGACGCTGGTCAATGACATTATAGTATGATTATACCGATTGCGTAATTAATAGATTGTTGAACTATTGACAGAGAGGAAGAAAATGATCATCTGTCAGGAGGGCCACCTTTCTACCCGAAGGGCTCTGGAGTAGGGCTGTGTCGTCAACCGGCCGGTTGGACTGGACCGGGTGGTCCAACCGGAATTGCGGTTGGGCCCAAACCAGGGTCATTTTTTTTTTTTTTTTTTTTTGAAAACATGGTTGGACTGCGCTCGCCGAGATCTCCCCGAATCCGCTGAGAAAACTTTGAACAGAGAAGTTTTTTCTTGGGTTGGCTGGCGCGTAGGTAGTCAGATTGGGGTCTCTCTCTCTCTCTCTCTCTCTCTCTCTCTCTCTCTCTC